TAGTTTTTAAGGTTATTTTGGTAAATTAAATACAAATACCCTTACCCCTCATTCTCATGACACCAATTCTCATATTCTCTCATACTCCCATATACAAACATATATCCACTCTCTCATATATTCTCTTGCTCCCTAGTCCCTAATTTTCAATTTTATTCGGGTTTCAACAAGGAGAAGGCTTGCTCAAGTGTTTCAAGCATTGTTTTCAATCCGTCGTTGATGAATTGAACCGTTCAAACCGTCACCCAACCTTACTTCCTAGTTTGGTTCTACTTGTTGAAACCTGCTATTTGGTCAAAAAGGTTGACATGGTCACTGGGTCACGGGTTGCACACTCAATGTATGTGTAAACTTCTGGAGGCCATAACATTGCACTCCAATGTCTGATTAGGGTGATTTTTTTTTTTGGATAACTTTGCAAGCTTTAATTGATGTGATCATTTTGGGCCTCAAATTGTAACATTTAGCAATTTTTATATAAAAAAATAAAAAACTGAATTAAAAATAAAATAATATTTCTAAAAATAATTATACATTTTTTATTGATAAAGTACATGCTTACACACAAATATTTCTACAAGCTTTAATTAATGTGGCACGATCTGACCTGTTTGATCTAAACAGTCAAATTGGTGACTTGCGACCTAGAGGGAAAAACGGTTTGGCCTCTAGGTTGGTTTTTAAAACATTGGTCTTAAGTTTGCAAGCTTCATAAGTTGAAATCAAGTTTGGATACTAGATTGAGATACTAGTTTTGTTTTCTTTTTTTTTTACTGATAAACTAAGTAAGTGATAATTAATTTTCATTTTTAGAGTTTAATATTTTATTTTTTTTAAATGGTTGGTTTTGCTCAAAACCCCTTTACCTACAACTTCGATACGATGATGTGTAGTCACAATATGATAGCACCGATATGGGTGTCAATGGTACTATTGCTGATGAAGCCACCCTTGCTACTACTAGTGTTAAGGGTGACAAGAGAAAGACTGGTGATGTTTGGAATATGTTTAAGTAAAAACACTTGAGGAAAAAGGAAAAAGAGTCATTTGCATAAAATGTATGAGTGATTTTAATTATAGTAGCAAAGATGGTATTGACCATTTGGCTAAACACATGATCAAGTATTAAAAAGAAAATAATAATGAAAATTTAACACAAATTTCATGGGCGTATTTTTTTTTGAAAATTTTGAATATTCATAAGAAAAATGAGACAAAACACATATACTAAATATGCTAAACAACCATTTTTATTAACTAATGACCCTTGGCATGAAAGATTTTTATAACAATGTATAAATCCCCAATTTTTTATTTATATAAACAAAATTAATCTCTACTTTGTCAAGTCTTAATTTCAAAATTTCACTTACATCTGATACTAGACTTTCAAATATAATATTAGTTATATTTGTGTCATAACTCATAACGAATCATGGCTTTTACTAAAAAAAAATAAGTTTTAAGGCTTGAGTGGCCATATATTGGCCCAACAATTGCTGCAAGTATTTTATATACTTTACATATGATATTTGATGGTGCGCAATCCGGCTGGTCCTAGCTATCAACGACCTTGCCTCTGAACGGAGCTACAGGGAGCCTGAAACAGAGAAGATGAGGAAGCTCCGGGGGGCCTTTTATAACCACCTTGTGCACTTACTCCTAAGTTTCTGTCAGGTCGGGTATGATTACCTCTGGGCTCCTGCCAGTTTGGGTGTCATCCCCTTTGCTGGACAGAATCGCCACTGCTCCCTTTTGTCGGAGCCGTCTCTGCAGCTGGCGATGACGGTGGCAGGTGACCGTTGAAGTGCGGCTGTCAAGCGTCAGATCCCAAGTTAGTCAGGTGTGCCACCCTTGGATACGGACCTCCTCGGTGTCAGGTATGGTACGTTTGTTCAGTTTGGCGTCCTGGAGGCGAAGTGCTGGAGTGGCGAGCGAGGTGAAGTCTTGAGTTCGGATAGAGGAGTGTCCCGAACTGCCATGAGGCGGGCCAGTTCGGGTCATTGCCTTGTGTGGCTCGGGGCCTAAGGGAGAGTTCGGGCTCCTCGTAGGGAGTTCGGGCTCTTAGTAGGGAGATTGGGCTCCTTGTAGGGAGTTCAGGCTCCTAGTAGGGAGTTCGGGCTCCTCATAGGGATTGCTGGTGGGGAGTTCGGGCTCCTTGTAGGGAGTTCGGACTGCTGGTTTTCCTCCCTTTGGTGCTCGTGCCCTAGGTGCGCTGTTGTGCCAAGCTGTTTGCCTTTGCCACGTGTTGAGTGATTACGAGGTCGGGTCAAATATTCCTTCATCAATATTGAAAATAAAGTTCTTTCTATTAGTTTTGATAATGCTTGTATAATGTTTTAGTTATAAATATTTTAAAATTTTAATTAAAAACATTTCTAAATGAAAATTTATTTCATATTAGATCTACACGTTATATTTTAAACTTATGTATACAAGAAGCTTTATATATTTTTTCATTTCATATTTCCAAAAAGGTAAATCTCTTTAACTACCCTACTGTTATCAAAATTGACAAGCTATACCCTTATTGTTTAGATATTGTCTTGTAGTACCCTTAAGTTTTCTAAAGTGCTAACGGAAGGAAACGAAATGTCAAATTTGCCCTCCACTATTCCTCAAATTTAATCCCCTCTTCTTTTCCTTCTCTTTCTCCTTCTTCCTCTACTTCTCCTTCCAACATCTTCATCTCTGTTCATCGTCTTCTTGACGATGAACAAAGAACTACCATGGGCGTCATCATAGCCGAAAATAATGTCGACCATTGTTGTTTTACCCAGAGACTACTGCTTTGCTCAGCGCAGGCGACGTCCCTTCTTCATCATCCCTCTCCCTGACGGCAGCTACAGCAAACCACTCCTCGATGGTCGTTGGTGGTGCAACCGTGGTCTGTCCGACTACTGGGAGGCCATTACGCCCCTGTTTGGATACCGTTGACAAATTTGGATACCGTCAACTTTACCGATGGTCATGTCTGCCGACTTAACTTTAGCTATGCCTAATGGTCTGATAATGGAATATTCCAATTGTCTGCAAAAAAAATGGTAAATTACAAAGACCCCCTTGTACTATGGGGTCTGTGACAAGACCCCATTGTACTTTGTTTTGCGACAAAGACTCCCCCAATACTATGGCTGTGAGACAAAAACCCCATTTCGTTAGCTTTCCATTGAAATATGCCATTGCAATATTTTTCAATCCCTATATTACCTTTGTAAACAATTGGGAGAAAAACATTGCTCATCTTCCCCGACCTCATGATACACGAACAACGCGGTAATCCACATTTCTCTCTCTCTCCCGATCTCTCTTCTTCCTCTATAGGGAGTGCTCCAAAACCCAAATGCAGCAGATTCTATACAGTCCTGTTCTTCCTTTCATTTGTTCTTTTTTTCCCTTACTTCATCTTGTTTTCCTTTTTCTTTTCGGTGGAATTGGGAGGTAGACTGTCATGTACATGATGGGGCAGCAGTGATTTGGTTTCAGGAGAGTAATTTTTAAACAAAATTGGTCTAAAAAAGTTTCAAACAATAATTTACTTGTTTGATCTGAAATTTTCTCTAAATGAAAACAATATATTAATTTCAAAGGAAAAGTACTTTCTTTCATTTGAGTTACCCTGTATTTTTTTCTCATATATTATTTTAAATTTGAGCTTTGATTAATGCTAGGGAAAGCAAATATTGTTTTATGTTCATTTTATTGCTACAATTAACCAATGCTTCTGTTCTGTTGTAGTGTCAACATAGCAAAACCCCATCTCATTTGCACGATGAACCCGAAGAAAGTTGGTAGTCATTAGTAATAACACAGGAGACACAAACCATGGTTTTTTATAATCCTGTGTTTGACATCAAGCACACAGACAGAAAAGCCAAGGGAAACCATATTCCATTTTCTTTAAATCAGTAGTGTAACTTTCTATACAAGTTGCACATGCACCATATGCATGCATTCTATAAATTCAAACCTTCTCTCGCTCTGTGTTGTCATTTATGGTTATGAATCATCACCTTTGAAGATGAAGTCTCTCTGCAGCATATTGTACAGAGTCTGGTATTTTCCAGTGGGGTTGTTTCGGTTGAGGTAAAGATTTTCTAGTTTTGGGAGATCATCGAGGGAAGCCGGGATTGGACCAGAGAAATGGTTGTAACCCAAATCGAGGTAGTCCAGGTTCTTGAGTTGGCCGAGGAATTCAGGGATGGGGCTGGAGAACGGAGTCCAGTTGAGACGAAACAATTTGAGGTTCCGAAGTTTAGTGATGGAGTAGGGGATGGAATCATTGAGCTGGGTGACTTCATCGAAGCAGAGGGTTTCGAGATAGGGAAGGTCACCGATGGCAGATGGAATTTGGCCGGGGATGTAGGTTCAAAAGAAGGCGAATTGGGTAACTCGGTAGGTTTGAGGGTTGCAGAGGACGTAGTCCCAATCACAGCAATCGATTTCGGGATCCCAGGAGACAAGGGTGTTGGGATTGTTTATAGATTTCTTGATTCTCAGAAGGACCTTTTTATCATGCGGATTGCAACGAATAGAAGAAGAGAGGGTGAGATATGGGAGAGAAGCTGAACTGAGGAGGAGAGAGAGTACTGAACGGGTGTTGCTGCAGAGAGATCGGGGGAGAGAGAGGGAAAGAGAGAAATGTGGATAACTGCCGCAACTGTCTACTAGAGTAATATGGGGATTAAAAAATATTATAATGACAGATTTTAACGAAAAGCTACGAAAGAGGGTTTTTGTCTCACGGTTATAGTATAGGGGTCTTTGTGACAAAATAAAATGCGATACAGATCCCATAGTACGGGGGTCTTTGTAATTTACCCAAAAAAAACTGTCCTTTTAGCTCTGACATGGGATTCTCACTCCCAAAGGACAGGGATGATTTGGAAAATGCAATTCCACATTCCACCGAAAATCGAAATCCGCCGAATCTGAAATTGAAACGGGACTTTCCGATTCCAATTTGAACTCTTGCATTTTAAAAGGCTTCCTCTACAGCTCAACGGGCAATGTTAAATTCAAATTTCAAAATGAAGGCCAACGTCACCGTGTTGCAAAAAAAAAAAAAAGAAGAAAGTTGGCGTAATGGGCCGGTGTGAATAGCCGTCTTCGTTCTCTCTCGCCCCTATTATTGGGTTCTACTGGTGTGAATAGCCGGTGGTATTTAGAAAATACCAGAGAACATATACAAAAGAAATCTCACAAAATCTTTAAGACAAAAAGGAAGAGTTAAACCAATGGATCTATGCGCCGGATGTTCAAATATCTTGGCTTAATCAGGATGTTTGTGGGCGGCGGAATCTACTAATTTTTGGGCGGCGATGTTTTCTCTGGAGAAACGATCAATCTGACGGCATCTGTGGCTTTCCAAACATTTCGGCGACAATTCTTCACCGGACGGCATCTGTGTTTTTTAGGTTCGATTTCTGATTTATTTATGTTCGATTTCTGTGTTTTTTAGGTTTAAGTTCTGATTTCTTTGTTTTTTAAATTCGATTTCTGATCAGTTTAAGTTCTGAGTTCTATGTTTTCTAGGTTCGATTTTTTATGTCTTTAAGTTCGACTTCTAATTTATTTAAGTTCGATTTCTATGTTTTTTAAGTTCTGATTTCTGTGTTTTTTAGGTTTAAGTTCCGAGTTCTGTGTTTTTTAGGTTTGATTTCTGATTTATTTATGTTCTGAGTTCTGTATTTTTCTAGGTTCGATTTCTGATTTCTTTAAAATGGGTGTAAACATTAATATATAAGCAAGGAGCTATTTCTACAAACATAAGCATGTAAGGCAAAACTGGCACAGATGTACAACCCTCAACCATCAAATATCTAACAACAACCGATTTTAGTTACAATAAGAAGCTACCGTTCCAGAGAAAACCAATTTATGCAAACAGTAAATATCATACAAAAGATAAAATGAGGAAATTATAAAGGAAAATCACCACAAAATAGGGAAACAGTCCTCTCCTAGAGTACATACGGCATACATGGATGGTTAAAATTAAATCCAGACATGATAGAGCATCCAAAGACACAAAGACACAAATGCTCTTTTACCAAAAGTTGCTAGGTTGGCTGAGAAACAGAAACGACTTGCCAGGTACGGATTGATCTTTGTGTACTCATTCATTTATAGATTCTTGTTTATTCACTTTAGTGTAATTGCTGAATTGAAGGAATTACCAAGTCTTGATGTCCGGGGAGTTGGAGTATGAGGTGCAATATAACGGTATACCGGAGAGTGTTTACTTACAAAATTCTTCTTGTAGTTGTTGAGTTTGGTGTTACATATCCCCCATGAACAAATGTAATCCAAGGATCATGACAAACACTAACATTTCTACCACCCTTTATTTTCCAAATGAAATCAAATTTCATTTTGCTTTGGTTGCATGGTGAAAATGGAGACTTTCTGCAAATATTTCTCCTTTATAACCCTTACCCACAATCTCTTAGGTTCTATTAGAAACCTCCAAATTTGTTTAGCAAACAAAGCCTCATTCATCTCACTTGACTTTCTAAATCCAAGTCCTCCTCCCTTCTTTGATCTGCACATTTTCTCCCAATTTAGTGTGCGTAATGTTTCCTTTCCACCGAAAGAATCTTTGAAGTTTTTCCATTTCAGAAGTAATCTTTTTGGGAAGGATGATAGAAGACGTCGAGTATATGGGAAGAGATTGGGTTAGTGACTTGATCGTTGTAGTCCTGCTCGCTTGTGAAAGAAGAGATGCTTTCCATAGAGACGTTCTTTTCTTAACTTTGTCCAGCAAGTCTTTGTATGCCTCAATTTTGCTTCTTCCTATCCACAATCTTGTGCCCAAATATTTATCGCTCATGCACATTTGTTTAATACCCAACATTAGAGTGATGAATCTTCGCTTCCTTCTATTTATGTTGCTATTGAATAAGATTGAACTTTTTTGTAAGTTCACTTTCTCTCTTGAGAATTCTTCAAACTTGGTTATAATCTCTTGTAGGTTTTGTAGCATTTTTCCTTCAGCCCTACAAAAAATTAGATAGTCATCTGCAAAAAGCAGACGAGTTATTTGGGGGGCCTGTCTTGTAAGCTTAATTCCCTTTAAAGTGCCTTGGTTTTCTGCTTGAAATAGAAGAGATGATAGGACTTGCATAGCCAAGATAAAGAGATATGGTGACAAAGGGTCACCCTGTTTAATGCTTGCCTTGAGTTGGAATAATTCTGAGACAACTCCATTCACCTTAACCGAGAAAGAAGGAGAGAAGTTGCACTATTGTACCAGTTTACACCAGTGTTCTGGGAAACCCATGAGTTGAAGAACTTTTATAATGAAATGTTTATTCAACCTATCATAGGCATTTGACATCTAGTTTAATTGCTACCCATCCAACTCCTTTCTTATGCCTTTTCATTTTAGTAATCAACTCACGAGCCAAGATTATATTATCCATGCCTTGTCTACCCTTTATAAAAGCAGCTCGATTTTCTATTACCAAATCTTGTAATTTGTTCTTTAGTTGATTTACAAAGCATTTGTAATTATCTTGTAAACCACATTACACCAGCTAATAGGCCTGAATTGGGAAATGTTCTCAACCTTCTTTTTCTTAGGAACGTACACCAAATTAGAATAGTTTATCTCCTGAGGGAATTCAGCTGTATTGAAGAAATGGGCCACAATCTCATATATGTCATCCCCTATTATATATGCTAGTATTTTTGATAAAAATAAGGGGAAAAACCATCAGGCCCCGGAGATGTATTTGATTTCATTTTCTTGACCACTTCCCAAACTTCTTTTCTGGATGGCACTCTTTTTAAATCTTCCTTCTATTCATGAGTTAGGATGGGGAGCTGCAACTATTCCAACTCAGCAAAAGAAATTAGTGGTTCTTGTCCCATTATCGACTCTGCTAATCTTCTGAATGCTCCAGGTACCTCATCAATTGAGAGAATATTTCCTTCAATATCCCTAATCCCCTCATAGTAGTTTATTCTTCTCCTAAAATTTGTTAATATTCCTTTCAACAAACCTAATCCCCTCATAGTAGTTTATTCTTCTCCTAAAATTTGTTATGTGATGGAAATATTTAGTATTGCGATCACCCTCTTTTAACCAAACTTCTCTTGATTTTAATTTCCATAATAATTCCTCCCTCCTAACCCACTTCTCATAATCTCTTTGCAAAATAATGAATTCCTCCGAAGATGTAGGATAAGAATTTATTGCTTCAAGAGCTGTCATTTTCTCCTCCAAAAGCTTTAGTTTATCATTAGTGTAACCAAATGAGGCTTTGTTCCATTCCTTCAGCCTGGCTTTTACAATTGTTTGACTTCCACAACAGCCTTCTAGCGGGGGGGGGGGGAGCTTCAATACTCTTCGACCATTCTTCTGTAATTATTTTTTCACATTCTTGTTCCTCAGCCCACATTGGTTGGAAATGGAACTGAGTGGGTCCCTTTAATTTTTTGGAGTACGTCTCTAAAATGATCATTGCGTGATCAGAATACAAGGAAAATTCAGTAAGAGCATTAGCCTCTGGGAAACACTGGAGCCATTTTGAAGAAGTTAAGCATCTGTCCAACCTTTCCTTTACCCTGTTTTGGCCATGTTGGTTGTTCGACCAAGTATAGTAGGGCCCTTTACTATGTACTTCTGAGATATTGGGATGGGGTGTGATGTTGAGGTCTACGCCCCACATTTTCTGTGATAACTTTTTTCTGTTTTAATGCTTACACTTAAACCATTTGACATTCTCAGAAACCGGAAACTTTAGGTTTTGGGATGGAGCTAGAACAAAAGAGAAGTAATCCTATTGATTCACATGATGGAAATTGTAAGTTATTTGGGTTTTGTTTCTATTCTATGTGCATTATTTGGTCTAATTCTACGTATATTGTTCAAGAATGCTACACTAATATCCTGTTACTAATTGTGCAGAATCTGTTAGTGGATTAGATCAACTTGAACAAAATGCCGCAGCTAAACCAGTTTCTGTTGAGACAAAAGGGCACCATGAGGGTAAGCATAGAGCTATTTGGTGGTATGCCATTTTGACTCTGGCACATCATCTCACCCTTTGTAGTAACATTTTTTAGGGGACAGTGTTGCATCCGAGAGACACGTCTCCCCTGAAAAGTTGTATTGGGCAGCTTTGCTGATACTGTCCTCAAAACTCGAGAAAAGGCACTTGTTTTGAGTTTTGAGAGATGATGAGTTAATGGAGTCAATCAAGGAACATAAAGCAAGGCAACCACTTAGATAACCTTGAGAGGAGGCAACCAACCGCAAGTGTTTTGAGTTTTGAGAATGGATGATGAAATTTGTATTAGAGATTAATGTATCAATTTGAAACTAAGATGTATATTATTTGTGATTCCAATGTATTAAATTTTTTGGTAGAAAAATATTTTGAATGGAAAATGGATCTTTTAACTTGCATTTATATTGATTTTTGTATTTCATTCTAATTTAGATGAATGTAGACAAAACAGGTTATTTAAAGCAAAGTATTAATAACTTAAAAAGAAATTATGGATTATGTAAAAAAAGTTGATTTAGCGGTAGTCGTCATTGCCGCTAAAGAAGGCCATGGCTGCCGCTAAAATAAAGTGCACCAAACTTATAGCGGTAGCCGAATCAGTATTAGCGGTAGTGGCGAACTGGCGGCTGCTGGTAAAAGTATTTTTAGCAACAGACGATTTAGTATTAGCGACAGTCGCGACTATTCTTTTAGCGGCAGTTTGCTAGCTGCTGGTAAAATTTAACATAACTAAATTTTAAATAGTTAAATAATGGAATTATGTAATAAATTTAATTTTTTATTGTAGAAAAATAATTATAATAGATTTTGTAATATTCAAATTTATAATAATTTAATATTTTAGAAAACTAATAACGAAATTATGCAATAATAGTATACATTATAATTAATATTTTAAAATTTAAGTAATGATACTATTTAAATAAATAAATAAATAATATTGTACATAACTAATTTCACTTATATCATCAATTAATAATTCTAGAAAATAACTTTCAAAAAAAATAATGTGTACTAATAATAATTATAAAATCTTAATCTATATTTATTATATATTTATATATACTTAATTATTTGTTGTATTTTTGTGATAAATATATTTTCAATAAGTATGTATAAATCTATTTTTGTTTTGTTATTTAATAGAAAATTCTCAATAATTATTGGAGATTAAACTACTCTTAATTATTGAAGTTATTGTATTTATATTAGTTATTTATTATATTTTTATTATAAATTTATTTATAATAATTATGTATTTCCACTATAAATTTTCAATAATTATTGGAGATCAAACTATTGATATTTATTAGAAATTAGACTATTAGTTTAGTTGAAAATAGGAGTGTTCATGGGTCAGTTCGGTTCACTTGCAGGCTTTTTAGCCAACCAAATCAAGATAGTCATGTTGGGGAGTTGGTCACCCGAAATTGATTAACTGTTAATGAAAATCGACTAACTTAAGTTGTATATATTTGGGTCGATTTTTGGTTTAGTTAGTCGATTCAAAATATTTAAACTTAAAAATTAAATTTACGATATAAAATATTTTAGACTAAGAAATATAGGAAATTTCTTTCCCTATATATATATATATCCATGGGCGAGGTAGTTTGGTTTTAGTCGGTTTACAAATGGCCAAATCAAAACTGATCCAACTTGATTGGGTTGGAAAATTGTTGAACTAAAGCTGATTTGGTTGGCCAAAAAGCTTGCAACTGAACTGAATAGTCGGGTAGGTTTGATTTTGGTCAGTTTACAAATGGACAAACCCAAATTGGCTCAACTTGATTGGGTTTGGAAATTGTTGAACCAAAACTTTTTGAAAATATTAGAAAACCGACCAACTCAAATTGATCATTTTCATTGATTTGATGAACAATCCTATCTAAAAGTAATTATTATTATTATTTTATTATAAAAAATCATTAAAAATAATATATAAAATATAACTAATTATTAATTATTTAAAAATTAAATATAAAATAATTATATACTATTATGTATTTCTATTGTTTTAACTTTCGCTTAACAAACTCAAACTCGGTGCACCAATATCTTTTAAAAGGCAAAATCATTCCTAACGCTGCGTTTGGAAGGAGTGTAAATGCAAAAATACATTCTACAAAATTTCACACCTCCGGTTCAAGTGCATGCAATTGTGGACCGAATTTTACCTTTAATTTACACTCTTCTTGTTTGGCAACTATTGGCGCAAAACAAGAGTGTTAATTTGTGATTGTTTGGATATTTTATAAGGATGCAAATTAACATCTCATTTTTTTACAAAAAATTACAGTTCCCTTCAAAAGTGCTGGTCTGTCAGAACACTTGTGTACACTCAAAAGTGCTGGTGACGTCTCTCAAAAATCCAACAGACTGTCGATGTTGAATTCATTCAAAAGTGGGCCATGAGCCCATGACACCAGTGTCCAGTTGTCTTGCTGAAGTGCTGGTGTACAGACGTCACCAGTACTTTTGAAGCTGAAGCTGAAGTCATTGGCTGGCAAATGACTTCATCTACACCATTCAACTAGTGGGGTCCCATCCACGTGTACTGACACTGAGCCTCCAAAGCTGCCACAGTAACAAAGAAAATGTGGATTAGATAATGCAGTGACAAGGAAACCATTAGGCAAGGTGTCAGATATGGATTTACACATAAACATCGAAGTATCTGACATAAAGGCACTCTTGTATAAGAATTTGGGTATCATGGATGAACAACCTTTCTCTTACCTAATTGATATTTATTTATTCATATGTGAATGCTTTCATCATCATAGAAATGATAAAAGGACATGATTTCAAAATGTTGATATGCTCATTAATGTATTTTTGTGTTTTGAAGGGTTAGGATATCAAAAAACTTGTTCTTAAGAAAACCAGATAGGATATGAATCATATGATGCTGATATGCTTTTAATACTTTTTTTTTTCTGAGAAAAGGTAAAGTATAATTGTATTCAAGCAAAACAGGTCCTTTGGACAATGAAAAGTTGTTAAAGGACTCAAAGAAAAGACAATCCTCAAAAAAGTACTATTAAAAGTATCATCTTTAAACACAGTATGTATACACAACCAACTTCTAATAACCCCTATAGCCAAATTGATGACCTCGGCTTCAGAGAAGCTTTGTGCTCAAAAATCCTATTGTTCCTTTGCTTGTACCCTGTGTTTGTATATTTAAATGCTGGTTTTGTAGCAGAACAAGGAGGTTTGCTATTATCTGAAGCTCCCAATCATTAACGCCCCTTCTAAAAGGAGTCCAACAAATGCAATTGTCAATCAGCAAAAAAGAATCAGCTACCAAGACTTCCCTGTCTGTTGCTACATTATACAAGGTTGGAAACAACTCTATAAGAGTGTGATCCCTAATCCAGGGGTCTAACCAAAATCTGAGTTTATACTATCTCCAATTTTATAGCTGATGCACCTTCTGAAATGTGTGGAAACTTAACAGATTCCTTTCCACACACCACAGCCATAAGTCAATGGCAGTAATCCAGCCTCCCAAAGGTTATCTGGTTCAGCAGAGAACCTCCAAAGCCAACTTACCAGTAAAGCAAAGTTGAAAGACTTTATATGTCTTATTCCCAAACTACCTTTGGACTGAGACTTACAAATATGATCCCAATTCACAAGATGGTATTTGGGAGAGTCTTTTTAACCTGTTTGAATTATGAAACTTAATCCTTTGCTAATTGTACAAACTGATGGCTATTAGTTTCCTGCTTATAAACTATATTTGATGTTTAGCTGCATATTTTTGAATCCTTTTTCTTTCAACTTTTTACTACTTTTGTTAGTTTAATGTGGGGAATACATTGATGTGGTACTCCATGATGCAATTAGTACTTGCTTCTGTTATCCTACCTTAAACCTAGTAACTTGGTACTTAAAAACTATGATGTTTGGTTGCATTTTTTTCACTTAGAATCTCTCTTTTCTTTTAGCCCTTTAGTTGGTTAATCTAGAGATCTTTTTCTTGGATGGTGTGGTACTCTTAATGATGCAGTTGGTACTTACTGCAGTTATCCTAACTCAAACCTATGATCTTTTCATTTAGAAACAATGTATGGTGTTGAAATGCATATTTTTGAATTGGAAGCTGCCTTTTCTTTTAGCCCTTTAGTTTGATCTTTGTTGATAACTTGGTTTAATCTAGATTTATATTAGCTGATATAAAAAAGAAATTTTCTATATTAATGTGGTACTGCAGCAATGTAGTTGGTAATCATTGTGATTATCCTACTTAGATTAATTGACTTTTTTAGATGGTTGTCTAAAAACTGTTTATAGTATCTAAATGTCTTTTTCCCTCCTTAGTGATTTTGGTTTTGTATCATCAGATTTATTTGCAGGATCTTTCCTGTTCTAAACCAGAGTTTAAGCTGCCTAGCATGCCATGCTCGCCAATCATAGATCCAACCTCTCTGCAGATGGAAATATGCTTGCCTATGTAAGAGACAATGAGCTGCATGTTTTGGATTTGTTATACAGCGAACCCAAACAATTAACATATGGTGCCAAGGAAAATTTCCTGGTGAGCTTTATTTTTCTTGTCTATTTCTGCYCAATCTGGGTTAAGGAATTTAGTAACTCTGAGTTCCTTTTCACWTTTGTTTACTGCTGTTTCAAGTGACAAAATATGAGTCATCCTTTTGTTTTCCTAATATCTTTTTACAATTTGTTTTCAGCAATACTTCATTTTACCTGTGGCCACATGGTATCTACTTGAATTGATTCACCTGTTCACCTTGTTAATGTGTTATCTGACTCAGAAAATCATGTTAAAGGTCAAATTTCTCTATCCAGTAAAAGGTAGCAGAGCAAAATATTTGGAAGTTTTTTGGATAGGTAAATGCTGGTTTCATTAAATGAAAAGAGGTATTATAGAATATGATATTCAGTTTTTGCTACATCACTACATATTCGAGCGAAATTGAGGACCTTTGCTTACCACCTCTACWATAAGAAGCAAACTAATAAGCAACCTGGTTAGTAGTCTCCTATAAAATGATGCCACCTCAATATAGTTTAGACAAAAAGTTCCAATAAAAGGGCTAATGTGGACTATAAGAAGCAAACTAATAAGCAACCTGTTGCTACTGAAATTGAATCCATTTCAGTTACAAGTATGGAGGTACCTTGATATTGGGGGTACTTGCACCCCATTAAGCATATCCAAAAAAAGTCGATTAAAAAATAAATTTATAGTTGCCACTACCACACCCTATTGTATGGCCTATAAGAGGATGCTCATCATGTTTTATTGGAAAACTATTGTATCCCAATCTATCTCTAGTCACTGAAATATTGTAATTAAGAAACCACACTGACTAGAGGAGGTTTTGGCCATCCACRAAATTGAGTGGAGGTTGTGGGGTTATATGAAAGCTGAAGATTCTAATAATGGTTCAAGCTTTTTAGTTGTCTTCATATTTTTTATCTGAAATTCTGCCACTGTATCATGAATATCATGAAAGTAGATTAAAATATCTGTTCCRTTTACCAACCATTATTTTGGAAACACCTTTCATTAGTTTCCCACCAAATACAAATGCATCATGCTACAGAAAGCATGATTTAGTTTGTTGGTCTTAAATAAAGAATAGAGGATGTGCTTATGCTAGTACATGGACACTGAACAATTCTATTTTTTTTTTAATAGTGAAAATAAAATATTTGAAAATAATCGAGCCTTATATGGTGTTACTGTCCAAACCAAAGCCTCATATGTTGTGACTTCCCTGGTTTTGGGAGGTRTGGAYTAGMYTGAACCTAACCTTTGAAATCAGATGGGTGGAAACGTTTCAGGTGGAAGTGCCTAAGGTAGATCTAATCCGATTGCATATATTCTGTCCCTTTTAGACTTGAATATCATCAAACAACATTTGGATTCCAAAGGGTAGAGGTTATATGGATGGGATTCCAAAGAAATGGGTGGGATTCTGTCCCCTTTAAACTGTTGTATAAAGGGGATTCCACCATCTGATTAAATGGGTGGATGTGCCTAATGTATAAAGGGGACAGACTCAAGTTGTTTAGATTAGTTTTAAATTAGACTTGATATCATCAAACGCCACAAAAAAGAAATGGAATCCAATCGGTTTGCACAAACAACAATCTATGTTAAAAAAAAGATTATTAACTAATCAATGAATATATGCGATGAAAAATTAACTCGTTAACAGATCTAATCCGTAAGAAAACAATAAGTTGTATATTACCTATTACAATGATTTTGTGTCTTTGGATGATTGAACACAGTTCGCAGAAGAGAGATAGCCATTGGAAAGAGAAAGCCACAGGAGAGAAAAATGTCAGAGAGAAAGCTGTCGCCTGTCGGAGAGAGATAGTTGCAGATCAGCACTAGAATAGTAGAATGAGTGGACTGGAGAGGGTAAACTCAAATCGACGCAGATCAGCATCAGCGTCTATTCCTTGGCTATTGATGCAGATTTAGATACACAAACACTCAGATCGAATGTAGAAGTCGCCAACGACTTGAATGGGAAAATATCTAGAGCCTCGAACACTCAAACAGACGCTCAGATGAGGGTAAACTTGACTCGGAAGTCGCCATTACTCGACTGCATCGTGCTGGTGGTGGACGAGGGTAAACTCCTCGCCTATTTCCCTCGATGAAGGAAGGGCGTAAAGTTTTACTTCGAAAAAACCGAAGTTGTTTTTCACCCCAAGATCGATGTAAATCCTGACATATTTGCAATTTTACATCGTTCTTAAGGGTGTTTTTACGACGACTCCAAACGTATGCAATTGTGAACCGGGATGCAATAATGCATTGAACCGGTATTTACACTCCTTCCAAACGCAGCCTAAAAATTCAAAACTGACAATTTACCCATAAAAAAAAATCAAAAGTATGGAATGCTAATAAAACGTTGAATTTCAAAGTACATATACCTCTTTGTCGCAAATAAAAGTTTTTTCATAGATGTGTTGCAAATAAAAATGGGACTTGGAGAACTAGTTGTCACTTGGAGAACTAGTTTTTTCATAGATGTCTCTGTATTTTACCCTTAAAAATATGCAAAAACTATCCATCGCAATCGGCTTATCGTTAAAAAATCCTGTGCTACTGTGGAAAATTTGTGCCTCTTTGGGTGACAAAACACCCTTTCTCAATCAATGAGTTTCATTTTTTGATCAAAGTTGAGTCTCAAACTCTCAATAACCAAAGTTGAGTCTCAAACTCTCAATACCAGAGGAGTGTTAACGTAAGTGAGAGCTGAGTTGGGATCGACAATTTGACATCCTCGAAATGTCGCTGGAAGAAGAGATGGGTTCTCTATTCGAGGGTATGGTGCTCTTCAACCCTTCGCAGATCACCCCAGACGACGATAGTGAGGACAAAACTCCTTCTTCTTTCCCATCAACGTCCTCATCCACATCTCTCCCCCTCGATGAGAACCTGTTTTCCGACCTAACTGTCGTTCCTCTTCTCCAACCCCTCACCTCGCAAGAACCCCCCAATATCTCCCCGTTGACAGTCACAACAACAACGTCGTCGTCGTCGTCGTCATCATCATCATCATCGTCGTCATCTTCTTCTTCTTCAACTGTAATAACAGCCATTCCAACCGTTTCTCGCCAGATTTCCCGAAAGAAAAAAAGAGCTGGCATAAGGATCGGATACGCCAGAGACACCCAAGTTTCCGACGACCATCACAATTACCCTTCTTTCTCCCTCACGGAATCCACTTCTCAGGTAGAATTGGAATCTCCACCTCCACCACTTCCACTACCACTAGGACCTGTCGATCTAAGAGCTTCCAAGCCCGTAATCTCAGAAGAATATATCTCCACTGTAGAAGACCATCTCTCATTTTCTGCAGAACAATCTTCTTGCCTTCTTTCAGATTCCAATTCCGAACTGTCCCCGGGAGTGACGGTCACCGAGATCTCATATAACAATTCGAAAGATGAATCTTCTTGTTCACCTGTACGAGCAAGTAACCAAGACTTGCGGAAAGATAATGAATTATCCTTGCAATCAAAACAAGAGGCGGGAGTTCTAACCGAGGAGAAATGGGAGAAAATTAGGGCTCAAATTTCTGAGAAGCTGGAGCAAACACGAAAATTGGCTTCTTTTGTTTTGGCAACAAGGAAGGAGGTGGCAAGGAGGAGAAGGAAGGCGTCTGAAGACGTGAATATGGTGTCCGTGAAGTACAAGCAGCTGGAGAGGGAACTGGAGGAAGCTTGTGAAGCCGAGGATTTCGAGAGGGCGGAACGGGTTAGCGAGAGCTTTGCGGCAACAGAAAGGGAGAAGGAAAGTGTTGTAAATTCATTGAGGGAAGCTGAAGCGGATTGCGACTTGGTGGAGTTGAAGATGCAGGAGGTGCTAGAGTTGCAGATCACAGCTGAAGAAGAAGGCGTGTCATTGTTGGAACGATTTGCGGAGGTGAACTGACTAACCTGGTCCTCAATTAGCAAATCTACTTCATATTTTGAATGCTTTTTTAGGTGATTTATAATTTATGCTTATTTGAGTGATTCTTGCCTCATGAAAGTTCTGAAATGGAAAAAACGTAAATGTAGAAACATGTATTGCATTAGCTGAGTCAAAGAACAAGTGTTTGCCATCATCTTCACTCTTCCTACATATAAGGCGTTTACTTGAACTCCCTCTTTTATTTATCCATTATGTAGGTCTTTTTTTTTTTATCAGAAACGGTAACTTTCATTAGAGATAAATTAACCTGAAATACAGAATTCAACCCTTATTAGAAAAAGTTGATCCAATAAACATCAAACATTACAGCATTGCCCAAAAAAGACTCTCCCTTGCAGTCCCTTGTTTGCTAGGGCATCAGCAAAACCATTTGCTGATCTCCTTACCCACTTGAACCAAACACCCACCTCCCTTGTTATGCTAAGAATTTCCCTTATCAGCTGTCTATATTGCCAAATTCCCAGCTACCCTGATTGCATCCACCCAATTACCAACTTGGAGTCTCCCTCTATCT